TATGGACTGTTAGGTCGTCTGTCGCTTCACAGACACAAGGGCTGTAACCAGACAGTGGACCAGTGTGGGTGTGAGTGTGGGGCCCGTTCTCACGGGTGCCCCGACTGGAGGGGCTGCTTCTTTCTTGGGGTGGGGCGCTTGTTTCTGTCATGCGGGCGTTTCCACCTCGAGGACCAAGCATCCAGAAAGCTCGAGATCCCATGGACAAAGTCTGACCTGTGTGGGGAGGGGGTGCACCCGTCACAGCCACTGCCCTAGTGCCTGCGTCCCAGGGGCTCCCAGGGCATTTCTTCCACCCCCAAAATAGGAGGGTGCAGAGACCACAGGAAGTGGCCCAGGCTCTGACTCAGTGGCCAGGAAAGCGGGTGTCAGGACTAGGAAAAGGCCAGCGAGTCCTCTGGGGGTGATCAGGTAGGACAGCAGTGACCACAGGTGGGAGGGGCCGGGAGGGGCGCCAGGGGGTGTTGGGAGACCCGTACCCCCCGAGGAAGACCCAGGACAGCCAGGGGGTGCGCTGCCAGCACCAGGGCTGTTGAGGAAACCCATGCCCACTGGGCGTTCTAGCACACGTTGAGGACCAGGACGCAGTAACCTGGCCGTAGTGAAAAAATGCCAAGGGGACGCCAGGCAGGCATCTCTCTGACCTGCACTTAATGTTGGGACAAGTCAAACATAATGAAGCTGTTTGTTGACATCTAATTACTAAAATTCTTGCCCTATAGGTACACGATACAGTTTCGCACTTGCTTTATTAATACCATACGCACTGATCATTTAAAGATAATAACCGTCATCCCGCAGGAACGGGATGGGCTCTGCTCTTGGTTGACTGGCTGACGTCCTCCTTCTCACCTGCAGTCATGTGGACCTGTCGGCACCTGTCGGCTGTGGGAACACTGATGTCCCTTTATTGAACTGGCAGATCTGGTTGGGGGTTTGAGGGGTGTTGGGCCCCCGTGAAGGAGCGGGCGTCGGATGGGCACATGTGGACGTGTCTGTGTAGCGCATGTGTGAAGGAGCACACTTGTGTGTGGCTATAAAGAAACATTGTTTCCCGAGGCCAATCTTCAGATTCCTTTTGGAAGAGATACAGAGTAGCACTTAGTCTTCCAGTGACGGAGGGGGTAAGATTTCCTTCTGTGGGGCTTGCCTGCCCGGCCTGGTGCCTCTGGACAGCGTCCAGGCCCGGCCTCCTCCGTGTCCAGCTCAGGCACCTTCTGCAATGTTGGTCATTGCCCGGGGCGAGGGGGACGGCCTCTGGGTCCCTGCCTGGCACTCTTACGCCCGGGATGCAGGGATGTCCCCACTTGTTCTGTGAGGTCACCATGACCTTGGTTCCTGGGGCCTCAGCGGCTGCAGCCCCCATTTCACCACCTTCTCCTGAGGACCTTCATCTGCCAGGAACTACCGTTTCAGAGTTAGTAGCTTCTTGTTTGGTTTTTATAAATATCATAACCAAATTTTTAACACCCGATTTCAGTTTTTGTGTTAAAAGTGTCAGTGAGCATGTGAGGGTGTTGATGGTATGTGCCGGGGTCACAGTGCATGTTGGGGGTGTAGGCGTGGCCAGTGACATGGGCATGGGTGTCCCAGGACAAGCAGCAGAGCTGGGTGGGCACTGGCATTGGGGTCCCTGCCTTCTGCCCTGTGGACGTGAGGTCTCATCGTTTCCCCATGTGATGGTCCCCAGTGTCCTGCTGGTTCCTGGGGAACAAACTGGGAGACAGGGTGGTCAGGACCAGAGGTTTTCAGGGCAGTGCACCCGGGACACGGAGCTGCAGGAGCCCGATAGGCACACAGCCACCCGAGCAGGAGGCATCCCTGCCGTACCCGCGTCTAACTTGCTCAATCGCAGCTTTGTTTTCTCTTTCTTGTCACGGCTGTGTCCCCCGGGGGCTTTTTGGAACCTGGCACGGATTTTGAGCATCTGGAACACTGCCGCTCTCTCTCCAAAGCGAAGCCAGGTTGAAGGGGCTGTGGATTCTCCCCAGGCTGCCTGGAGGGGCCGGGCCTGCTGTCTCGGGAACAGCCAGCAGTGTTTTTTATCAGGGGGATTTAGCGCCTTCAAAGCAAGAGCCTCTTGATTGCAAGGATTCCAAAAGACTGGGTAACCTCTGAAGGTGGTTGATGGCCACTTCTGGAAATAGTAGTAACGGAAGTGGTCCCTCCTATTTGGGGTTTGCACCCATTTCTGTTAATAAGGACCATGGAGTGTGGACCAGCACCCAAGACCCACAGGTGTCTGACATGGTGCAGCCATCAAACAAGACGTCTTCAGTTGGTCACCGCAGCGGGAGCCAGGGTAGAGTTTCCATGTGCATGTTTCCATTATTTAGCATCCTGGATATCTGCTCTACGCACACAATAATACAGAACCGAGATGTCACAAGTCTTTCCAAACTGGAAATCCAGAGTAGCTTTTTAAATAAAACTTACTAGTTACACTGGTAATGACTTTTTAAAATAATTAGCATAGAATGATTCTTAAATCCAACTGTGCACCAATATTATGTGCTGTTTTTATTAAAGGAGAGATTTCCTAGGTCAGGAGCCACCATCACATGTATGAGAGAAACCCCAGAATCTGCTCCCACCAAACCCTTGGGGTGTTTTCATTGTAGCTGGTGATTAGAGCAGCTCAATAGTGATTAGTCTATTAAAACCTCTTTACATGCACAGGTCACTGTATCTAAACCCACCTACTCACCCACCCACTCATCCATCCATCCATCATCCATCCACCTATCTATCATCCATCCATCCATCATCCATCACCCATCCATCCCTCATCCATCCATCCCTCATCCATCCATCCATCATCCATCACCCATCCATCCCTCATCCATCCATCCCTCATCCATCCATCATCCATCCATCCATCCCCCATCCATCCATCCATCCATCCATCCATCCATCCATCCATCATCCATC